TCATCAAAGTGAGGGAAAGTTAGAACCAAGAGCCAGGAAGTGTGTCTTTCTAGGGTATCCCGAAGGGGTTAAGGGATATAGGCTATGGGATAGAAGCCAAAAAGGAGTTAAGATCATCGTGAGTAGGGATGTCACATTTAATGAGAAAGAGATGCCTTGTCTAAAGAACGAAACCGAACCAATAAGTGAAACTGAATCAAGTGAAGAAAGAAGTCGGTTTAAGGTGGAGTTAGGAAAATTTAACACATCAGTACCTAGTACTTCTAGTGAGGTGGAGATTCAGGTCCAAGAACCTGAAGAGGAAAATGAAGTAGTGATAGAAGAGCATCCTGAAGAAAGAAGTCGGTTTAAGGTGGAGTTAGGAAAATTTAACACATCAGTACCTAGTACTTCGAGTGAGGTGGAGATTCAGGTCCAAGAACCTGAAGAGGAAAATGAAGTAGTGATAGAAGAGCATCCTGAAGAAGAAAATCCACTAGCTAACTATAACTTAGCTAGAGATAGAGAGAGAAGACAAACGAGAGAACCTAGGAGATTCGGATATGAATCTGAATTGGATTTTGCATACGCTAGTTACGAAGAACTAGTTGATAGGGAGCCAGAAACGTTTGAAGAGGCTATGAACAGTGGTCAATCTAAGGAGTGGCTTGAGACTATGAAAGAAGAGATGAGTTCTCTAGAAAAGAATCAAACTTGGGAGTTAGTACCGAGACCTAAGAATAAATCAATCGTCGATTGCAAGTGGGTCTTTAAGGTTAAAGAAGGTACTAGTAGTTCAGAACCCTTAAGATTTAAGGCTAGGTTAGTAGCAAAGAGTTACACACAGAAAGAAGGTTTTGATTATAATGAGATTTTCTCACCAGTTGTCAAGTACACTACTATTAGGGTCATGCTCGCATTGGTTACGCTCTTTGACTGGGAACTTGAACAACTCGATGTAAAAACCGCTTTTTTACATGGAGAGCTTGATGAACAAATCTTTATGAATCAACCAAAAGATTTTAAAGATAAGTTAAAACCTGATTATGTGTGTTTTCTGAAAAGATCCCTATACGGTTTGAAGCAATCACCTAGACAGTGGTACAAGATGTTTGATTCTTTTGTACTCACTATAGGATTTCAAAGAAGTAAATTCGATCACTGCCTATACTTTCAACACAACGAGACTGATAACAATTATTTGTTTTTGTTGCTCTATGTGGACGACATGCTTTTAGTTGGATCATCTTCTAAGTGGATAAACAATATAAAAGCAGATCTTAGTGGAGAATTTGACATGAAAGACCTAGGAAAGGCTAAAAGGATTCTAGGCATGGAAATAGAATGAAATAGGTCAAATTCCATCGTATTCTTACATCAGTCCCCATACATATCAAAAGTGTTGAAAAAGTTTAATATGAGTGACTGCAAACCTGTCACGTTGCCTCTTGCAAATCATTTTGTCCTATCTAAGGAACAAGCTCCCTGCAATGAACATGAAGTGGAATACATGAGTAAAATTTCATACTCAAATGTGATTGGTTCCATAATGTATTTAATGGTTTGCACTAGACCAGACTTAGGATTCGCTATTAGTACTCTCAGTAGGTACATGTCTAATCCAGGCCCTGAACATTGGGAAGCTTTAAAGTGGCTTTTAAGATATTTGAAGGATACAAGTGACGTGGGTCTAAAATTTAGTGCTAATAAAGAAGGCGTGAAATTAAAGGGTTTTGTAGATGCTGACTATGCAGGAGATAGGGATGGTAGGAAATGAACTTCCTCTTACGTATTCACCTTATCAAATTCGTGTGTTAGTTGGAAATCACAGTTACAACACATAGTTGCACTATCCACTACAGAGTCAGAATATATTGCCACCACTGAAGCAATTAAAGAGGCTCTATGGCTTAGAGGTCTACTTCATGAACTGAGTGTTTTGAATGAGTATGTGGTTGTGTATTCTGATAGTCAATCATCCATACATTTGTGTAAGAATCCTGTCTTTCATGAACGCACTAAACATATCGATATTAGGTTACACTTCATTAGGGATATAATATCACAAGATGTAGTAAGACTTGAAAAAATTCACACACAGTACAATCCTTCAGATATGGGCACGAAAGTGCTGCCACTGAAAAAGTTTAGAAATTGCAAAGAGCTTCTAAATATCGGTACAGGTAAATGATTTCAATTTTATCGGCTTTTCTATTAGAGGTGTCACTAATGGAAAAACGTTTTTCTTTGCAGGTCCTTTGACACCAAGGTGGAGGTTGTTAGACATTATGTTGTCAAACGACCTCCCGGACGATGATGAGAACCAATTTTATCAGTCGACATGAATGACTGAACGATAATTCAACATCGAATAATGGATGAACCGACCAAACGTTGCTTTACCTATTGGACGGCTAATACTCTTTGTGGCTTGTTGATTCCTTCCATTGGAAGTTAACCCTAGTCGAGCCTACTTACCATATCCCGACTTACCTTATGTTGGCCACTTGACTTACTATATATATTGGTGTTTTCACCCTTGTTGAGTCCGTCCAATGTTGAAGCCGTGAGAGTTAGAGAAACTGCCGTGCCCAACCGTGTTCTTCTGCCTTCATCTTCTTCATGATTTCTTCTCCACCCCAATTGCTTGAGTCTTTGTGAACCTTACCTAAGTGGTATCCATCCTAAGTGAGTGGATTAAATCAACAAAGCAAAGGAGGAAAGCAACCAAAGAGGAAGAGGCGCCGGCGGTATTGGTGACTCCAAAATTGATGTTGAATTCGGTTTTAATGGTTAACTGAGCCCGGAAATCACCGTGAGCAGCAAGAGGAAGGTCCTCACAGTTAACTTTGAGCAGAATGTTGTATTCTCAAATCTTAACAAAATTATAATCGTGTGTTTAATTTTGTTCAGCAGCATTCAAAGTTACACTTATTTTCGAATTCCAAATGTTACGGAACACACTTATCATTTCCATTGAATTTTTAATCGTGCACACATATGACCAACCATCCAATTAATACATCTTTATTTGTAACATTGAAAACTCTATTAGTTCAAGTTGTTGCTGAAAAAAAGAAGGCGAGAATGTTGGATGAAGAGAGAGTGATTTATTTCTCATGAGGTTGGAGGCGAACCGGAAGGCCATGCTCCGGTGTGGGAGAAGCATAGAAAATTATCTTTTCGTTCGGGATTGCCTTTTCGAGTTTGAACCTTCTCACCACATTATGCATAAAAACAAGTACTTCGAGACGAGCATACTCTTTTCCAGGGCACATTCGTGGTCCTCCACCGAAGGGCACGAATGTGTAAGGTGCCGGTCCACTTCCTTCGAATCTTGAAGGATCAAACTTTTCAGGATTAGGGAAGAACTTTGGATTCTTGTGTGTCGTATGGACGGTCCAAAATGTCTGCAAAAATTATGATTATTGGTATCATCATCAATTAACTAATGCTTGGGTTTATATAGTTTTATGTTATACCTTCCATCCTTTGGGGATAGTGAAACCTGCATAAGTGAAGTCAGTTGTGGTTTCTCGAAATGCTCCCTGAGCCGGTGGTGTTAATCGGAGTGATTCGCGTGCCACATTCCACGAATACTTCATCTTCTCGATATCCTCCCATGTTAAAAGCTCGTCCGAACCTTTCAACTTTGCAATCTCCATTTGTTCTATGAAATTGTAAGATGAATCATATGTCATTTCACAGTAAAAATAAATAGATCATGATCTATCTTGACAAGTGAGGCACTTTAGCACTTTACTTTCTAACTTGTGCCAATCAATTACCTTTAAAAACACCATTATATATATGGGGAAGTTCTGCCAAGTAATTCATGACAGCAGTGACAGCAGAGCTAGTAGTTTCGAAACTGGCCACTAGCAAACCTATTATGTTGTTCGAAATCTCCATTTCACTCAAGAATTGATCATCTTCGTCTTTAACGAGCAACATACACGATAATAGGTCTCGACCTTCGGTCTCATTGTTCGCAATTATCTCCTTTCTCCTCCGCTTGATGATTTTCATAAGCTCGTCGCGCACCATTTTTCCTCCTTTGATTGCACGATTATATGCTGTGCCGGGAAAATCGATAGGCACGGAGAACATTCCGTTTGTCACGAGGGTGAAGGGATCGGCCAGCCTCTTTATGTGCTCGGGATCGGTTATACTCAAAAACAATTTACACGCCAAGGCGAAAGTGTATGTTTTCGACAAAGGGAAAACTTTCACCACTCCATTCGCAGTCCAATCTGCATCCAAGTGTTCACGAGCGAGTGCATCCATCACCGGTATGTATTTCTTTAGAGCCTCGGGCTTGAGAATGTCGTGGTGAAAGCTACGTTTAAGAGCCGATACTTCCTTCAAATTACTTTCCACAAATTCCGGAAAAAGCAAGGCCTTTTTCATTGATTGCGGCCACCATGAAGTAAGAAGTTTGTTCTCATTAGTGAAAAGGAACTTGTTACCTTGTGCGCCACAAAATATAGCCATTTTCTCTCCCACCAACGATGTTCGAAAGACCTCGGGCGAGTACTTCTCCATCCTATCTTTAACGAACTTCTGAGGACCCAATAAGGCAAACTCCATATTTTCACCCAACATTGGCCAACCCTTTGAGCCCGGAGGCATTTCCGAGTCGTCAGAGCCGCGTTTACGAAAGACGAGGTAGAGGGAGAGAGGGAGGAGTACAAGAGGAAGAACGTATGCTAAGAAGACATCCATTTTTATCCGTTGAAGAGTTGAAGGGTTATTATTAGAAGTGGGTATGCCTTAAACCAGTGTAGGAAAGAGTATATATAGAAACTTTTGGCATGAATTCTGAGGCAGAATTTGTAAATGACACGGGACAAAATCTAGTGAATGTCCACTGTACAGTGAGTCTTGACAAAATGTGGTATTCTAGTGAATGAAAATATTGCTTTCTTGGGATTGTTTTATTCCCCCAGTATCCTCATATTTGTCTTATTGAAATGTAGAAAACATCCTATGGAACATAGAGATATTATCTCTCTAATTAAAAGAAATGATCTATGTTAACATGTATAAAAATGTAGAGATGTAGAGATTTTTTTTTTTTTCATTTCTATGACAAGTCTTGGTAATTAAACACGTTATAGTGGATTGCCGAGAGAATACAATACCTTCGAAATTGATACACGTTATAGTGGATTTTTTGCACCCTTTTTCCCATTTTTTGGAGTCTATTGATCTCTTTTATAATTATTTGAGCTCAATCCCAGGTGGGTTCATCACTGATTGCCGAGAGATTAGTGGATTGAAATTGTTGAATTGTAGTAGGAATAGATTGGTTGGTTCTTTGCCTAATTTCGATGACTTTAGGATGTTAGGAATAGATTGGTTTGTTCTTTGCCTAATTTCAATGACTTTAGGATGTTAGAACACTTGGATTTTTAACGAAATTCACTTAGTGGGGAAATTGATTCACAATTTCTGGAATTGGATCCCTCAAGAGTCTGAACCTTAGCCAAAACAATTTCACATGGGTTGTTCCTCTAAACATAGGAAAATTGTTTCTTTTAGAGGAACTACAGCTCTCTTTTCCTCATAAGTTTAGACCTTAGTTATAACACGTTGACTGGGACAATCCCATCTAATTTCCCGGCCGGAACAAATTTGCGAAGGATTTAACTAATGAAAACAGAATTATCCGCCTATGTTGACAGGTACAATCCCATTCTGTTTTAATTAGCTGAATTCATTTAAGTAGTTGCTTGAAAATATGATTTCTTGGTAGTGGTCGATTGGTATTAAATGTTTGAGAGGAGGATCCCAACAAGTGGACTAAGTAGGAGTAAGGTCGACAAAATTCTTCTGTGTTTGAAAATAATCTCCATATTATCGATGTTGAAAAGTATATTCTTTTGTTTTTTCGTGAGCACCAACTTGTGAGCTCCTGATTAATAATTATGTAATATATTTATTAAAAAATTTGTCTATAAAGTCTTGGTAGGTTGTAAGCTACTCAACAGAACTCACACCTCTCTTTCTTTTTTGAATATGGAGTTGTTCATTGCAATCTACATTGTTTTTCTCTTTTATGTTTTCATTCGACTTTGCAAAAGATTCTTGGGGCAGAAAAATAATTGCTGCTACATGCTAAATTATGAATGCTACAAGGCCACTGACAGAAAGGTAGACATCGAATCCTCTTGTAGAATCGTTTTGAGAAACAAGAATCTTGGTTGGGATGAATACAAGTTTCTTTTAAAAACCATGGTCAGTTCAGACATTGGTGAACAAACTTATTGTCCCAAAAATGTCATTATGGGTAGAGAGGAGAATCCCAATTTCTACAATTCCTTCTCTAGTAGCCCACAAGAGTGAAGCTCTTGAAGACCCCAAAAATTGAAGTAGTATATTAAAAAACTACACGTACTAATTGATAAAATCGAAGTTTTATATTTTAGTTTTGCTTAACAGGTTATGGTAAGGCAGTTCTAATACGCTATGTTTTGTTTACTTTGATGTATATTTAATATAGCTTCAACATGGATAGTCACAGAGTTAGGAATAAAAAACCACCGACGAGAATGAACATGCTTTTATCAAAATTATTTACGAGAAAGTTAAATCAAACACATTGTAATGTTCTACATTCACGAAAGACGAATGGGACAGGATCACGAAAGACGAATGGGACAGGATCAATGAAGTCATGATAGTTTCAACAAAAATGGATTACGGCATAGATAGATTGAAGGGAAAGTGGAACCGCTTACGTAAGATTTGTCGCATGTTCTCTGAACATTTGGGACATATAGGTGTTACATGAGATCCAAACACCAACAAAGTTAATGCTGCAGAGGAAGTTTGGCAACACTTTTATACGGTAACATATATTTATTATAGAATATTTTTCGTCATTAGTTTTTATCTTATCAATTTTACGTTTTTTTTTAAAAAAAAAAATTGACAATGTGGCTTATTTTTTCAATGTTAGATTAACAAGTTGGATTACAAATTGTTCGGGAGGGAATGATGTAAGTACTACCACACTCTTGGGGAGATATTTAGCGAGACTACAGCTACTTGAAGATTAGCCAGTGCCTCCACTCAGCTTCCAAACACATCAGAGGAAGAAAGATAGCTAGAAGATGATTTTTGGAATAGGAGAGTGCATGTACATGCGGAAAATGATGATGAAGTTGATGTGGTTTCAAGTACTCGTTGACATAACGAAATTGGTACATCGGGTGAACGGCGACGTAAGGAACTTAAGACCTATAAATTAATAAACTTGAGGCCCGCGTGGCACAGTGGTCATCTACAATTAGTTTGAGGAATGAAGAAACTAAACTTAGAACTCTTTACCTAAAAGAAAGCTTGTAAAGATATAAGGAAAATCAATTAATCAATCGGATAGTGAAGTTAATAGTCTGGATCCTATTCAAATGTTATCTGCTTGGACATCTTAAACAATATGGAAGGGGTGTCCAACGAGGTTTATATAAAAGCAATAAAGGCTTTTAAGGATCCCGATTTCAGGGTATCATTTGTGAAAATACCAAAAGCAAGGAGGGGACCTATATTGGAACTACTTTAATGTGACTGTTGTGTTAATTTCTTTAGTATTGTGTTGTTTTAATTTGTAATTACTTTGTGTTGTTTTTAACTATCTTGGAACTACTTTGTGTTGTTTTGAATTCTTTAGTATTGTGGTGAGGTTGTACTGTTTTCATTTATGAACATAGTGGTGTTGAACATTGGAGAATTGATGTTAATTTTTCTTCAATTTCTAAATGCTTGATTGCATGTTTTAGTAGTTGACATGACTTATGATAATTATTTTGGTTATATTTTTTTTCAGTGTATGGCCAGTCAATCAAATGTGGATGATAATGTGAGTACCAATGAGATTCGAGTGATGATAATTTGTTATATATGGATGATTTTGACGCAAATTTTGGAGATTTAATGATGCTTAATTGTTTTGTTGCCAACAAAGTAAAGTAGCATTGGTAGGAAACAATGTAGAACATCATTACTTACAGGAAAAATGTACATTCTAGAAATTTTGAATGGACATTCGAACGTGTGCTATCGTAATTTTCGTATACAGAAACACGTTTTCATGAATTTTTGTGATATTTTAAAAGAGAAAGGGTTGTTGAAAGATGGGAAAAAAGTGAGCGTCGAGGAGAGTGTTGTTATATTTCTGATGATTGTAGGGCTTCTGATGATTGTAGTGCACACTACACGATGCAGTGTTATTGGTGATAGGTTTCAACATTCCAGCAACACGATACACAAATGGTTTAAACGAGTTGTAAGGGTTGTTTGTTCATTTGACACTGAGATAATCCGTCCGACAAAGCAAAATATTGTGCATGAGCAAATTTTGAGCAAATATCCTTTTCTTTAATGATTATATAGAAGCAATAGATGGAATACATGTTGCAGCTTGGGCTCTTACACCAAGACAAATATCCTTTTGAGGAAAGAAAACAAATCTAATACAAAATGTGATGTTGCCATGTGATTTTGATATGAAATTCATATTTGTGTACTCCGGCTGGAAAGATGTTGTTAATGATTCGCGAGTATCGTCGACACAGTCACAAGAAGGCGAACAACTTTCCAATGCCACCAGGAGGTATATTTTTATACTTCAAATAATTATTGCAAATATATTTACAGTGTCACACTATTTAAGCCTTTTTTTATTTTGCAGATCAATTTTACCTTGTCGATTCTGGATATCCAAACATGCATGAATTTCTTGCCCCTTATCGAGGTCAAGGATATCATCTACTTGACTATGTTGGACGGGAAAGGCTATGAGGGAAGGAAGAATTGTTCAACTATAGTCATTCCTCGTGCCGTAACATTATTGAATGTTGCATTGGAGTTTTAAATGTAAGATTTCCTATTTTGAAGTTGATTACCAATTATCCACTTAGTAGAGGCAAAGAAAAATCCTTACTCCATCTTGCGCAATAAACAACTTTAATTGTCAGGAACACGCTTTAGATAAGTTGTTCGTAGAGTATTCAGAGGAGAATATGGTGTTTCAAGACATATTGGAGTTAAGTCAAGATCAAGAATTCATACATTTTGATGCTTGTCAAACATCTCAAATGGGACAAGTCAGGGATCAAATTGCTACACAAATGTGGAATGACTATTCAAGACATCGTATATGATTTCATGGATGACTTTATATTTTGTTTAGTGTCTACTTGTTTTGTCATGACACATAAACTTCTAATAATATCTATTGAACTGTGTTGTCAAATTTAATTTAGGTTGTATTTTTTAATCTGTCAAAAAATTATTTCAAGATTCGCCAACTTCAAAATTTATATATTATTTAATACTATATTAATATTAAACTATTAAAATTTATTGAATAATCATATTTTTTGAATAAAATATTATAAAAAAATATTCTCAAAATTTCAAAGTAAACGCGTTTTTCAATTTTATGTTTTCAAAAACAGTTTTTCAAAATGACGAAGAGAACGCATTTTCAACAATTTCAAAACAGGCACTCAAAATCCAAAATGAATTCAAAACTCAAAACTACAAAATTGGAATACGAAGGGAACAACCCATAAATCTTTCTCATTCTTTTCTTTGCCTTCCCTCTTTACTCTATTTCTATACTCTTTTCTCTACCTTCTCTCCATTGACGACGATGGCCTTACTCTCTCCTTCCCCCGATTTTCACTTTCTACTTATCACACACACACACACACTCTCTCTCTCTCTCCCTCTCCCAATTTTCACAGCAACGAAGTGGCGCTGAACGGGGTAGCAATGTTGCACTGCCATCAAACGTCGCTACGGCAACGACGCTTGGAAATTAGGTTGATGTTTTCATTTTCTCAGGTGCTCTAGAAATTAGATCTAGATTTAGCTTGGAAATTAGATCTTGGAAGGGTCTATATGTAACTTGGTGTTTTTATCTTCTCAAACGCTTTAGAAATTAGGTTTGGTCGTTGTTTTTGGAGGTGTTGGTAATGTAACAGTGGTGCCTTGTTGTGATGATTGGTTGGTGTTAGTAGCGGCGACTACGCTGTGATGGAGTGGTTTTATACAATTAACATGTGGTGGCATTGTGGTGGTAACGACGGCGATGGTGGTGGTGCAGTGGTTGTGGATGGGGTGAGGGGCGTTTGTAACCAATTATTTTACTTAATTTGCAACCAATATATAATACATGACTTAAAATGTGATCGTGGCTTATAATTTATTAAGTTGTCATTGAGAAATAACTTGTGACCAATCAATTTGATAACTTGTAACTATGAGATTAGTTATAACTTATAAAATTTGTGATTTATGACTAATAAATAAATTGTGATATGTAAAATTTTTAATTTGTGATAAATAAATTTGTTACATATAAAATTTTTTGTTTATGATTGTGAAATAATTTTTAATCTATAAAAATTTTTATTTGCGATCGAAAAAATAATTTGTGACTAAATTACATAGAATTGTGATTTTAATATATTTAATTAAGAAACTATATTTGTAATTAATTATTTCATAAATAGAATTTAATAATATCTTATTTTTGAAATTGTAACACTTGTTTCTTAGTTTTGATATGGGTTATATTTAATCTGAAATTTTCCCTAAAACTAATGACCATAGAAATTATGTTTCGTGTGTATATAAAACAACAATGTGAATGATTAATCTTTCAAGATATTAAACTTTAAAATTAATGCATGTACTTTAATATTCTCTCTTTAATATATGTAAGTGTGTGCCTATTTGTGTGCTTACCAATAAAATTTTGAATTTCATCACAATTTAATGTTTTTTTAATAAAAAATTCTTACACATATTATGGTAAAACATAATACAAGTTATTAAAAAAAAATTAATAACCCCTCTAAAATAATAATTTTTCTTCATCCCAACATATTGTTTTATAGAGATTTTACTGTAGTCATAAATAGAGGATGATTTAGCACGAGTTTTAAGTCTTTGGGCGATATTAACAGAGAAAATTGTAATGAAACTGTCCCTATAAATATTTATTTATTTTTGAAATACTATTTAAATATCAACATTTAGAATAAAAAGATTTGGACGGGTTAGGAAAATTCGGGATAGGGTTGAAAAAATTTCTTGACCCAAATGGTATACAGGATGACAACAAGGAATATAATCCACAGTTCCAAATTCCTTGAATGTGCTCCGGATTTTTATGTTTTACATTTATAATTTTCAACTTAAATCGTATTTAAAAGATAGTAAAACAGTTTTAAAAATTTAATAAAACAAGATGTTAATTGAAAATATTTTATCCCGGTCTTGCCTCTCGAAAAATCAGATGGAGGGGAAATAAGTATTATAGCCCCGCTCCACTTCACCCCACCTGTGTCCTGCTTCACTTCATTGCCATCTCTAATTTAGTGCAAGAATCATATTTTCCGTCCCCGCTCTATTTAGGATGGGCAAATGTGGCATGGGGCAAGGGTAAGGTACTTTGAGACCCTTATTTTACATTTTCATTTTCAATATTTTTACTTTTTACGAGTTCATATTTATTTTAGTTTAAGATAATAATGGTGATAACATCTTTGAAAAGAAAATATGATGATTAATAACGAAATGAAATTCAACTATAAGTGAATTTAGTCCAACTAATAGTACTTAAAGGAAGGCCAGTTTTCCACAATGAAATCTTGCTAAAATAAAAAGTTGGGTACTCAAATGCAAATGTTTAACACATACTTACAACACTATAAATTATCCACGACCCCCAAATTTGGATGTACAGATTTGACATAGTAAATTTTAATACACAATACATAAGATATTATACAAATGATGTTTATCAATATATTAGATCATCATAAATAAATAGTGCAAAACAATGGTTAAAACAAAAAGGTCGTCATATCTACTATAAAAATTCGCACTTAGTGTCATTTGAAAGTAATTTAATTTACACCCTCCATAACAATATTTTACTTTCTATATTTACCCTCAATGCTCGTACGCTAACGTGGCTAGTGTCTTTCGTCCATCTCATATCCAAATATAATCTAACTATGCTACACTTACAAAGGTGGGTTACAAAGTTGGTTGACAAAATAACATCCACATCAATCATTTCAATAACATATTTTTAAATCATTTCAAATCAATGGCCCTGGATTTTGCCAACACACTTTGTAATCCAACTTTTATCACCAAACTTTGTACAAGTAGTTTTTTTGAATATAATCATACAAGTTGATTGATTTGATCTTTGGAGTGCTCACAGTTGCCTTTCCCACCTCCAGAAAGGGACACCTGTAAGTATTATGCCCTAAATCCAATCAACTTTGGACATAAATACTTTTGGATGAGCTGATATGTCAACTAACGGAATTTTGGATGAAAACCGTCAAAAAGGGCCTCACATGTAATGTTTAGAAAGGTTAGAGGTGACGGTTACAATAAATCAAAAGTTTGGGGAAAGTCTCCTAATATTTCAAAGATTTGGTGCTTCTACTGCAATTTTCCCCTTATAAAATAATAAGATTTTAGTTGGGTTGAGCTGATAATGGGCTAAGCTAGCCCACGTTAGGACTTGGGCTACTTTAAGCCTCCAATCCACTTGGGCCTTTGGCCAATGCATATATGTATGAGCCTCATTTTGCATAGAAACTTATTGAAACCCTGTTTTGATTCTCATTTTTATCAAAAATACATTTTACTTTCTTTTCTTTTTAATCATACATTCTTCATTAAAATAATATTTCACATAAAAATTTAAAAAACTTTTCTTTTATTTTTCATCCATACATTTTCCATCAATTTACTGCTCTAAAATTCATTTTTCCATAAAAATGGGTGTCAAACACCCTCTGATTCTTATATTCATCAATTATGAGATCAATAATCCAATTTTTATAATATTTATCTTGGGAATTTCGTTGATTATTTAAAGGAAATATAATAAAATAATTTAATATATTTTCTTTTTAACACTTAATATAAGGGATCATAGCTCTTTGAGGGAAGTGTTTTTAGGTTTCCACGTTGGCGATTTCTACTAGGATGGGTTAAATTAGTATCTTGAAATTGAGTTCAGCCCTCCATCTTTTGTGTAAAGCAAATTTGTTAACTAAATATGTTCTTAGTACTTACATAATTAAAAATGTTCATAAGACAAAAGGAGAATACTAATAAAAAACATTTACTCACCAAACATTATATTATATTAAAGATAGTTAAATATATGAAATTTAATGCTTTACCTTTTCTTAACAGTGGATAATTCTCCAACTTTAT